GTAAGTCCCATGCTGGAAAGCTGTATGCTGCTTCACGGTCCGTATTTTAAAAATAACTTTGAATCAAAGGTGATCCAAAGGCTGGAGATCTCAGCAATATGCACAGGTCAACCCGTTTAATGTATCAAAAGGCAGAACGAGACATGACTTGCTTGCAGTATCCCTTCCTTCCTGGGGAAAATTCTACCAGGTGTTCTGGCAGAGAATAACAAGAGCCAGTCACTGGAGAGTGATTAATCACAGAAACAAACTACCAAGTGAAGTGCAGGCTCCTCTCTTTTCTGGAGTCTTGAATCACGACTGGAGGCCTGTCTGGAAGCCAGTTCCTGATCTGCAAAATCCTGAGGGCTGCGAGAGCAGATGAGAGGATGAGCTGCCGTGCTGTGACCCTCTTTTTAAACTCCTCTGCAAGCAGCTGATATTGGGCTGCCTTTAGGTGTAAGCAGGTGCGGGTCTCATGGCCCTGCGTGCATTAGCCCCGCACAAGTTCTAGGGCTAAAAGCCTTCTGGATCACGTTGGTACCCAAGTGATTCCCCCCAGCCTCCTTTGTGCTTACAGCGCTTTTGTCTCGGAGTCTGTGTTACACACAGTCGTAAAAAATTGTCTCAGAAGATGTGACCCTAGCTATGTTTGGAGAAGGACTGGGGGAAAGAATACCACCAGCGTTTTGACAAGTTATTTGGAATCTGCGGTGGTGAGGAGAGAAACAGCCCAGAATGAGGCAGTACTGCTCTACAGGCTTTAAAGTGGGACAGTGAGTGCATACCAGAGAAGGTGGATCTACAGCGAGAAGCGTGGTTTCTTTCTAGAAAGATCAGAGCGAGGTCAGAAAAGAGCGATGATGCGAGGGGTGGTTACAGCGAGGATTAGAAATCCCAAACATTCAGAAATAACAACGCAGAACCTCTCCGTGTCACGAGATTTATCTCTAAATTATGAAATGTTGTAAAGACTTGCTTTCATCTGCACTCTTCGCCTCCTTCTTTCGACTCTTTAACTTACAGGGAAATCGCGTTTCACAGTTTCCCTGCAATCGTAAAGACAGGCGCTTGCTTTGTGAACAAAGTGAAAGCACGGGAGTTAATGACTCCAGAAGTCCGGGATTTAATCTCAACACCCAACACCCCGATCTAAGGAGAAGGCAAAGACCTCGCTGAGTTACGGGGATGTTAGCACGCACCCTCACCAGAGTTTGCGTGTTTTAGGAAGACGACGGTCTCCTCATTTAGAGAGCTCAGGATCCGATTCATTCAAAGGATTTTCTGGTCTTTGCCCTTGTTTTAGCTCTATGCAGGGCAAAGGAGGAGCAGACAAAAACGTGGGGACCCAGCACACAGGACGTAGGGGTCGGAGGTGAGGAGGAGGACAGAGAGAGCATCGTGTAGCTAGGATGCTCGGGCTGCCTGGCTTTATCCGACTAATAATGAAAGGCAGCAAGCGTGTCAGAGAGTGTGAGAGAAACAGATCGATAGAGAGATAAAACTGAGATGGAAGGACCTGGCGAGGGGGTGGGGACAAGAGTAATAAAACACTACAAATGAGCAGGGTTACATCTGAACCTGATCTGAATGCACTCCGTGCTGGTGGAAGTGAATACATGAGGTGTAAGGCCATGGTGAGTCAGACCTAAATACAGAAACAGAGAAGGAAAAGTAGGAAGGAGATGGTTAGTCCTCACGCTGATGCTGCCCTGTAACCTGCCTTCACAGCTCTGACCCGACCTTATAGGTCCTGATCCTCCTTTAATCCTTCTGCTGTGTGGAGCAGCCCAGACCTTGCTAGCTCTGAGAATACAGATTGATAGCCCTTCCCTGCTGCCCTGGGCCACCGTGACCTTCAGCCTGTCCTGGAGCAGCGGCACGATGTGTCTTGGTCACGTTTTACCCGACTGAGTGCAGGAAATGCTCCATTCCACCTCGTTCGTGGAGGACCCGGGGCAGGACAACTTCTGACAACGCGCTGAACCGGTGGGTTTGGGGCCCTTTCCTAAGAAGGATGATTGACTGTGCCCACGTGTATGTACCAACGGAAGCAACCACAGAAGCCTCTTTGTTCAGCTCCAGATTTCTGAGGCAAATGAGACCGAGACATCCCAAAGCTAAGGAGGTGTGAGAGCATGTAAATGAAAACATGCTCCACCAGAAAAGGGCTGAGCACCCAGGTACCTTTCTCTGTTAGGGCGCCTGTTTGTCTCCCTGGCCCAGACACTCAGAGATGTTTTGCTCCTTCTGCCTGGAATTAATTTTGCATGACTTCCACCTAATCCTAGTAGCATGACCAATAACGTTAGAAATTCGGTTTTCCACACTGACCATCACTGTCCATGCTGCTCCCTTCTTTTGTCAGTAGCCTCAGCATGGAGACCAAGCACTGAAGAGACCCTGAGAAGGGGCAGGGACTATGCATACGGCTGTTCAAATGTAGTTGGAGCAGCCTCTCACTGAGAGACACAATGACCTAACTCCCCAAGGCAGCTATGGGTCGTATTTTCCAGCTCTAAAATTGTCTTTGGAGAAGTACAATTCCCCAAAGAAGCCTTCTCCACAACTCAGCCACAGCAGCTGCATGAGAAGTACTAGAGGCAAAGCAAATGATGAGAAGGGAGCTGTTGATACTGGCAAGTAAAACCTTCCCAAACTTAAAATTTACCCAGATGAAGATTTCAAGATGTTACACCTGTTTCAAGATGTCACGCTTACAGAAGTCTGGCAAAGTGCAGATCAACTGCCTTTAATATGAGCTAAACCGATCAAGCTAAAGATCGATGCTCTTGCTGGCAATCACGTGCTGGAGCGCAGACCTGCCCTGACAGCACTAAGGTTTCAACACGCTAAAACCACGTGGCCTGCGCAGACGGTATTGGGCTCCATCAGTTTGTTGCCTCCTTTGCTTTCATGGAGAATCATCACCGGTTTCTGAAGGAGCCAGCCCTGAGGAAGCTGGTGCTGGACTGGAAACTCATGGTCAAACAGCTAAATGCTGCTTTTTGAAATAAACGTTGGCTGACTGCGCTCCTCCCGGTCCCCCTCGCTACTCACCTCTGCCTGTCACATGATTTATATGAGACAAGAAGAGCTATGAAGGTGGTGGGTTTTTTTCCCAAAATGACCCTCACTTCTTAGTCCCATCGTTGTAAAAACAGTTCTTTCACCCAGCACGGGGAAGCGTGCCCTCGGCGATGCCTCCCGGTCGCATTACACTAACTCATTTGCCCGGGAAGAGGTACTTAAAGTCTACCATAAACATTTCTATCCTTGTGGAGTGTTTAAACTGTCTTTTTATGGGCACACTCTGCCTGCATCAGGGATGCATTTCTTGACAAGTGCAATGGTTAATGATTCAGCAGATAGTAAAGCCATTTTTTTCATAAAAATTAATGCAGTAGAGGAGGGGATGCATGCAGGGATTTAAGAAATGTGCAGTTTAAATACATAAGGACAGTGCTTTGCAAGGTAACATTTTTTTACATTTAGGTATCCCCAAAACACTGCCCAAAATAGCTAGATCTTGATGATGTGGAAGCAAAGACGAGAGCGACGTGTGGGTGAGCACGAGGCAGTCTATGCGTCTCTCTCAATTCTGGTGGGGCATTCATGGAACGTACCACTGAAAGATGGAAACCGCTGTGCCATACAGCAGCGCGTCTGTTTTCTCATCATTTTTCTATGGATGAAGAGCAGATATTCACCAAAACGTGTATGGAACGGCCCCTAAGTATGTGGAGATTCACGTGGCATCCGCAACCGCACCTGAGCGCGACCGGGCAGCTCAGGGGAGCTTTTAAGAGAAGACGGGTGGTGAAGACGAGGCAAACGGCAAGCAGGGGCCGGCGGTGAGCGGGGCCCGGTGTGGAGACAGCACTGGAAAACGGAGGTGGCGGCTGGCTCGGTGCCAGTGACCCGCACGGGCACA